TAGCTAGTTGTAGATCTGGTTGTAGCTAGTTGTAGATCTGGTTGTAGATCTGGTTGTAGCTAGTTGTAGATCTGGTTGTAGCTAGAGAGGAAACCAGTTTGGTCCTCATGTTTGGATCGAGGCGCTCAGTGGCGTCGCTTTCGTTTCGTGTGAACAGAATCAGTTGAGGAAACGTTTTTGTTTTGGTCTCATTTCTGTGTCGAATCAGTGAATTCAGGTTTAAGTGTCGGGTTTTTGGTGCTGGACTTTGATGTTCTGTTTGTCTCTTTTCGGACCTCCAGATGAACCGCTCCTCCTCTATGCGAACCGGCGGGATCTTCGGATCGTGGACGTGGAGCACGAGAAGGCCAACGCCACGGTGGTGGTGGAGGGCCTGGAGGACGCTGCCGCCGTGGATTACGTGTACGCTCAGGGCCTCATCTACTGGAGCGACGTGAGCGAGGAGGCCATCAAACGGACCTTCTTCAACCAGTCCGGGGCCCGGGTGGTCCAGACCGTGGTACAGGGTCTGACCTCCCCGGACGGGCTGGCCTGTGATTGGTTAGGGAGGAAACTTTACTGGACGGACTCTGAGAGTAATCTGATTGAGGTGGCCGAGCTGGATGGGTCTCTGAGGAAGGTTCTGTTCTGGCAGGAGCTGGACCAGCCCAGAGCCATCGCCCTGGATCCAGAACGAGGGTGAGTCTGGGTGCTGGTCTACACTCTGTTAGGGATTTGTTTGGTTCTCCAGCCGATCAAGTCCAAAAACCTCCCACTGGAGCATTCAGAGACTTGAGTCTGACTTGGGTAGACCCAGTAAGATCGGTCTGACTCGGCTGGACACGGTCAAACAGATCCGACCTTTGACCCAGACAACTGTCTGTCATCACATCCTCTACAAGTCTTCAAGACTTTCATTAATGACAGACACTAAGACAGAGAGACTGACTGTCTCTGGTCCCAGGTCCAGTTTGTCTCTGGTCCCAGGTCCAGTTTGTCTCTGGTCCCAGGTCCAGTTTGTCTCTGGTCCCCGGTCTGTTTTGTCCATGTTCTGCAAGTCTGAGTCTTCCGTCCATCTGTCCTCAGGTTCATGTACTGGACAGACTGGGGTGAGGTCCCAAAGATCGAGCGGGCCGGGATGGACGGGACCAACCGGTCCATCATCGTGGACAAGGACATCAACTGGCCCAACGGGCTGACCCTGGACTACGAACAGAACCAGCTGTACTGGGCCGATGCCAAGCTCAACTTCATCCACCGGGCCAACCTGGACGGCTCCTCCAGGTACCGACCCGCCGGACTGGGTTCTGCCTGGGCCCGACCCACTCTGACCCGTGTTTTTGTTGCAGGACGGTGGTGATCAAAGGGGAGCTGCCTCACCCCTTCGCCCTCACCCTGGACCAGAACACGCTGTTCTGGACCGACTGGACCACCCACTCCATCCACTCCTGCAGGAAGCTCTCGGGTCAGAACCAGCGGGTCGTCCACTCCAACATCTTCTCACCCATGGACATCCACGTGTTCAGCCCCAGGAGACAGCCTGCCTGTGAGTCCACCAGAACCAGATCTGTAACCCACACTGTCTCGTATGTGTCTGGCAAGAACCGGTTCCAGATTGGACTTTCCCACCAGAATGTGGTTCTGGTCGTGGATGGTTGTTTCATTCGTTCCTCTGCCTGAGTCCAGTGTGGTGTGTGTGTGAGCGGGTTCTGACCCGGTTGTTCTGACCCGGTTGTGTGTGTCCAGCAGCCAGCACCTCCTGCTCCCAGAACAACGGAGGCTGTTCTCACCTCTGCCTGCTCTCCCCCACCGGACCTTTCTTCCGCTGCGCCTGTCCCACCGGAGTCCAGCTGCTGGAGGACGGGAGGACCTGCAGAGACGGTGAGGACGCGTCCTGGGGAACTTTCTGAGGTTCTGTTGGGCCCCGGCTCTGATCAGAACCTTCTGATTGGTGTAGACATTCTACCTTTTTATTGTGAAAGGTTCTGCAGCGGAGGCTCGGTTCTGTCTCGGCACGGTTCTTTAATCCGGTGAATCCAGAAGTTTTTATTTGTGGAGGAGCTGCTTCCTCCCCCACCTCCTCCTCGAGCTGCTGAAGGTGCTGTCGGGCTGTTGCCATGGTAACCCTGCTGCGTCTGAAGCCCCACCCCCCTCTGTTGTTTACATTTGAGCTTTTGTAAGACCCGGATCACATGGTCCCCCGCAGACAAAGCCCCCATTCACAAGCGGGTCCTGAGTCCGGGCCTCGGATCAGGATCTGGGTCGTCGTTCTGGAAGTCTGACGTGGCAGGAGGGGGTCCTCAGAACCTTCAGAATCACCCCAGCTATGTTACGGTCACCAGAAACGTGCACGAGCAGCAGTGCACGTCTAAGACCAGGTGACTTTATTTACCTGCTCAGTATCTAAAGATGCTCCGAGCAGATGAATGGAGGAAAAGAAGCTGAAAGAAGCTTAGTGTATATTTAGTTGATGTTTTTCTTAGTTCATATCTTATTACTGTTTTTCTTATACATTTTATTGTTGGATGTAACTGGGACCCTGCGTACATAATTTCGCTCCACCACATGTACCACATGAGGTGCGAATGACAATAAAGAAACTCTGACTCTGACTCTCTGAATAGAAGCTAAAACAAGCCCAATAGTAGCTAAAGGGAGACGAATAGAAGGTAAATGGGCAGAATGCTTTCTAAAAAGTAGCTAAATGATAGCTAAAAGATCAAATTAGCCAAATGATAGCTAAATGAAAACTCTTAGCTAGAAGCTAAAGACAGCAACACGTTAGCTAAAGGCAAACGTGTTCAGACGGACGTTCTGTCAGAACAAACCGAGAGCTGAATCTTAGCTGTCTGGGCAGCTTGTGAATGACTCGGTGGTTTGGTCGGAGTGTTGGTGAGCAGCCGTGTGTTCCACTCCCAAGCTGCAACCTGATCTTTTTGTTCATGTTTTCTAGAAGAGGAGAGCTGCTTCAGCTATCAGCCGAAGCTCTTCAGCGCTCCGGCTCTAACATTCTACTCCTACAGGCCGAAGGATTCAGCCAATCCGTCCAAACCCCTCTGATGTCACACAGCAGCGCCATAGACCCCCCACTTTGTGGGCTGTGCTTCTTCTCTCTAAAACAGGAAGTAATGCGTGTCTAAACAGGAAGTAACGGGTATCGAAACAGGAAGTAATGCGTGTCTAAACAGGAAGTTACAGATATTTAAACAGGAAATAACATATCTAAACAGGAAGTAACAGGTGTCTAAACAGGAAATAACAGGTATTTAAACAGGAAGTAATGCGTGTCTAAACAGGAAGTAACGGGTATTTAAACAGGAAGTAATGCGTGTCTAAACAGGAAGTAACGGGTATTTAAACAGGAAGTAATGCGTGTCTAAACGGGAAGTAACAGGTATTTAAACAGGAATTAATGGGTATCTAAACAAGAAGTAATGGGTGTCTAGCTGTTTCCTATGAAAGTATCAGAAAGAAGCTTCACGCAGCCACTGGTAGTTTGAGGCTCTCTTTTTGCTCTGCATTTCTGCCTCCGTCTGTGAAGCCAATTTTTGGTTCTGACATTCGCCGTCCTCCTCAGGTGCTACCCAGATTCTGCTGCTGGCGCGGCGGACAGACCTGCGTCAGATCTCTCTGGACACGCCGGACTTCACGGACATCGTGCTGCCGGTGGAGGACATCCGGCACGCCATCGCCATCGACTACGACCCGGTGGAGGGCTACGCCTACTGGACCGACGACGAGGTGAAGGCCATCCGCCGCTCCCGCCTGGACGGAGGCGACGCCCAGTTCGTGGTCACGTCTCAGGTGAGCCACCCCGACGGTATCGCCGTCGATTGGGTCGCCCGAAACCTCTACTGGACCGACACTGGGACGGACCGCATCGAGGTGACCCGACTCAACGGCACCATGAGGAAGATTCTGATCTCCGAGGACCTGGACGAACCCAGAGCCATTGTTCTGGATCCCATGGCTGGGTGAGTCTAATTCCTAGAGCAGATCCCTGCTGAGTCAAAGTGAGGAGGTGTTGAGGACGGTTCTGGTCCGGCCCACAGGTACATGTTCTGGACCGACTGGGGCGAGGTGCCGAAAATCGAGCGGGCCAATATGGACGGGACGGAGCGGATGGTGATGGTGAACACGTCTCTGGGCTGGCCCAACGGGCTCGCGCTCGACTACAACGAACACAAAATCTACTGGGGAGACGCCAAGACGGACCGAATCGAGGTAAGCCTGAAGCTTCTGGTCGGGATCAGATGTCCCAACCAGAACCGTAGAAACCAAATAATGTGACAGAATCCAACCAGGCTGGATGTTCTGGTGATGATCGGTTTTGTAGAAACTAATCTGGCTGAGGCCAACACCAGAGGAACCGTCTGTGGTTCTGCTGTACGGAACCGAAGAAAAGGTCCATGAAGACCAAAATGTTCCACCAGGTTCTAAAGACAGATTCTTTGGTTCTTTTTTTATGTATCTACCTCCAACCCCCTGGTTCTTTTGGGTCCCCTCAGTCCTCCTGGTTCTTGGCAGCAGGCGGTTCTGACTCCTCGGGCCGCCTCGTGTTCTCCTTCTGAGCCCCCCTCCCCTCCTTGTCCTCAGGATCCTCAGAGGGCTGAGGTTTTGCAGTCAGAGTCCACATCTGGTTCTGATTGTGGCGTGGGTCCAGCTGTGGTCAGCTGTGTTTAGAACTGGGCCTGAACCTGGATCTGTTGCTGCTCTGCGGTCCAAAACTCCAGAACCAGCAGAGTCCTTCAGACTGAGGACGGAGAGGAGAGGGGGGGTTCTGGGAGCGCAGACGGGTCGAGCCGTGGTTCTGAGCGCCCTGTGTGTCTGCAGGTGATGGACACGGACGGGTCTGCTCGACGGGTTCTGGTGGAGGACAAGATTCCTCACATCTTCGGCTTCACCCTGCTTGAAGACCACATCTACTGGACGGACTGGCAGCGCCGCAGCATCGAGCGGGTCCACAAACGCACCGCCGAGAGGGACATTATCATCGACCAGCTGCCCGACCTCATGGGCCTGAAGGCCACACGGGTCCACGGAGTCCACGGTGAGTCCTGCTGCAGGACCAGAACCTGGTTTTAGAAAGGCTAAATGCACAGCACCCTGGCTCCAGGGTCTAGATCTGGCTCCATGGTTTAGACCTGGTTCAGTTTATGATCAAAGGTTTTTGGTTCTCTGGTGCGCAGGTTCGAACCCATGTGCCGAGTCTGGCGGCGGCTGCAGCCACCTGTGCCTGTTCACGCCTCACGGCGTGCGCTGCGACTGCCCCATGGGTCTGGAGCTCCTGGCCGACCTGCGGACCTGCATTGTCCCCGAGGCCTTCCTGCTCTTTTCCCGCCACACCGACATCCGCCGGATCTCCCTGGAGACCAACAACAACAACGTGGCCATCCCGCTCACCGGCGTCAAGGAGGCGTCGGCGCTCGATTTCGACGTCACCGACAACCGTATCTACTGGACCGACATCACCCTCAAGGTGGGTTTCTGAGCCATGGTCATTTATACGTAGACGCCTCGGTGAGAGCTGGATCGTACGTCGATGTCGCCGCCATATTGGATGTGGCCGTCCGTCCGGGCGCGTAGTCTGTCACCTCAGACGAGGAGGAAACAAGTCACATTTATTTATAAAGCACATTTAAAAACAGCAGCTCTTACCAAAACACGTTTAACAATAAAAATCAATGGCAGTGATTATGAACATTAACCGTACTGTAGTATTTTACCGAGTACTGCCAGTCACATGACCTCAGGTACGCATTGTGGGTAAAATTTACCGGTATGTTAATTTTTTTTAAGTGTTCGGATACATAGGTGTTTAGCACTTTTCTCTCCAGTGATTACCTGTAGTGTGCTCTGCTTAGACTAGTTTGTGTTCCTTCTGTAGGTGGAATGGTTATTTACTCTAGTAGGTACCGTAACCATGAGTCAGTCAGTCAGTCAGTTATATATATGTTATTTATGAATGTAATGTTACGCTAAAATCACATTTCAGTTTGCATCAGTTTCAAGGAGGTCTCAGTTCGGTTAATTTTCGGTACAAAAAAGGCCAAAATAAAGATGTACAAAATGTTTATTTTGAAAATATGCCAAGTAAACAAGTTCCGTCATTACAGACTTCTTAGCTGGAGGTGATCTGGTGGATGAAGAAGACTCAGCTATCATCCTCAGACTGCAAACGACAGTGATTGAAAAGAAATTGAGTTAATAAGATTATAATTTTAAATTAAAACGGTTAATTAGATCACAATAATACAATAACAATACCTGTTCTTGCACGGTCGTCATATGAGGTGGTTGAATATTGTCTCTCACTCATCATCATCATCATCAGGGCTTTAATCTGGTCCAGGACTTGTTGACGATCAGTTTTATCTTTTTCTTAAAGTGCTGCTACAACTTTTTGGCTGAAGTGTTGACGTGATGTCGTATTGGGGCTCTGTACCTTTAAAGTCGGCGCATCAACAACATTCGGACGTAGCTCCAGAGCTTTAAAAGCTCCTACGGCTCGTGTTGTTGCTCTGGACCGATCTGAATGACCTGATGAAGTTGTTTAAATGCTGCTGTTGTCGCTCTTTGGAACAAGCTGCTTGAAGAGACGTTCAGACGATGTCGTTTCAAGTCGTTAACAAGTTCGACGTGCTGCTGCAGATCCAGTCTCCGTGAAACGTCGTCGACACAGCTTTGATCTGTTCACTCGTCTTTTAACAAGAAACACATAATGTTCCCAAACACGAGACCGCAACGAGAAGCTAATGCTGCGCGTGCTGCAAGATAATAGCGCCGTGCTGAAACACGCTTAAGAACTTTAGTTCCGCGGTGCATAATCTCTCGTTAATAAAATTTAATGAGTGGAAAAAATAACAAACGGTACACATGTGGACGGAACGTACCGAAATGTTTTCATCAGTGTAGATTTAAAAATGATGAATCTAAATCAGTTCAATGTGAACATTAGCTGTCTTTATTCTGAAAATCCACACGTCACATCTACATTGCAGGGTCTGGTTATTGTTAGGGGTCAGAGTCTCTGCGTCCGGTGAATCGATCCAATTCAGAAACAGATTTTCTATTGAAATACTCATAAATTTTGTTTCAGTAATAATGTTTATGTAAGTGACAATGGAAAAGATTAAACAACAATGTAAACAAATAGAACGTTTATTTAAAACAATATGTGTCCTTACTGTATCAAATCTTTTTACATCGTTTTATATTTATACCAATAAATGGGAACAAATACAGGAGTGCATAAAATTCTGTAACTTAAATCATCAGTATTAGATCAGCGGCCTGGCTTTTTCAAAAATAAAATAATTAATAAAAAAAATCTAGGAACAAATAATTCATCCATCGACTTTACGCACTGCTTCCTCTTCAAGTCAGGGAGGTCACTGGTGCCCACATCAGCCATCACTGTGAGAGGTGAGGGACACCTGGACAGGTCTCAGTCCATCACAGGGACACCTGGACAGGTCTCAGTCCATCACAGGGACACCTGGACAGGTCTCCAGTCCATCACAGGG